GTGGTCAGGGTCAAGGAAGGGAGGAATTGAGCAGATTTCCCAGGCCAGAGGTGAAGAAAGAAGGGATGTATTTTGGTAGATGGTGAATTCAGTTTGGCAGAAAATGTATTTAAAATTGTGTATGTATTTAAAATCTGTCTAGTGAGACATTACAAAATGTGGATCGGAGGTTCAGGAAAGAGGTCTGACTAGGAAATACAGATCAGGATTGGAAGTCATCAGGGAATAAATAGGTGGGACCTAAGCTAAGAGGGAGAAGGTGTTCATTTGAATCATGTGATACAACTGGAAACATTTTCATATTATTGAGACAGTCTTGAGCGTGCAGGAAGTGGGTGTTAATGTACAGTTTATAGAAATACATTTTTTAAAAAAAATTGGTTATTATCTCAGTGATTCAGGATTTTCTAGAACAATACCATTTTCTAACAGTCTGCCTGTTCTTCCTACAATCCATTTGAATGATACTGCAATTAAAAGAAAAAAATCCAGCATCAATATTGCTTCTTTCAGATTGCCTGTCAAAGTGGCACACAAATTCTTTATTCAATTTCATTTTGTTTGTTTGCTCCTTCAGAGTTTTATTGAATTGATAGTGTAGATTCATGCATTGATCGTATTTTGCTGTCTGTTATGCGCTCCCATGTATAATGCCTACCCATGTTTTTGGCTCAGACTTTCAGGAAAAAAATTGTTTCAGTTTTTTAATTCAGTGACTTATATATATATTTAGATATTTGTTTTTTGTATTATAAAGGAATTTTAGCATCTATTTTTGAACATATTATGGTACAAGAAACTTTATGAAACAAATCATTACAAAACACAAGAATAGATACAAGATATTTCAGGTACTACCCTTGAATAATGTGCATCCTTATTTTTCCCTCAAAAATTTGGGCAAAAAGTGTGCATTATACATGGCAAAATACGGTATTCATTCAGTAAGCTATTTGTTGAATCCTAGCTATGTGCTAAGTATATGGTAAGGCTGTATGGTAATGGACAAATAACAATGTCCTATCTTCAGGAGCTTATAATCTCAAGGGGGAGGCATCAGAAGATAAGCAAATAAATGCTTTTAGGTAATTAAAGTATCATGACAAAAATTAAATTCAGGGTAAGGAGAAGGGGAATATCAGGGCATGTTATTTAGATGGAACGATCATGTAAAGTTTTCTGACAAGCAGATAGTTGAGCAGAAACCTGAGTGGAAGTGATGTAGTGAGACATGAGTATCCAGGGGAACATTGTTTTAGGCAGAGGGAGCAGCAAGTACAGAGAATCTGAGGAATGACACCAGAAGCTGAGGGGCCTGGAATGGTAGGATATGGGGTGAGGAGCTTTGCTGGCTCTCTCTGATTCACTTGCCTTCACTCCAAGTTGAGGACAGTGTGGTGGCTCTTCATGGCTCTCTATGAGGTTCCTGGGAAGGCCATTGGAGATGCAGAAGACCAAGAACGTTGGAGTTCATTCTTGGGTTGGTTAGTGGCATGTCCAGTGAGAGGAAGCAGTGGAGTTATTAGTCAGCCACAGTCCTGCCAGTAGCAGGTAAGGAAGAGCCATGTTTTCATCCAGCTCTGATCAGTTCCTTTAATGAAGAATAGACATTTCCTGCCGACCCTTGAAGTATAATTAATGATGAAAAATGAAGACATGAAAGAGTGTACTTAGATGAAGTGTTCACGGAGATTTATTTAAAAAGGCTAATTGCCTTCCTTTGCCCTCCGACCCTTCCCTTTTTCTACCCCTTCAAAAATGACTCCTTTAATCTCATGCAGCCTTCATGACTTTGAAACACTGCATAGTGAGAACAGCACTGGACTGGGAGGGAGCAGGTTTGGGGTCTGTGACCACTTTTGTCAGAAATCATTTTTGGTTTTAGCAACTCCTGCCGCTTACGTGAGCCTCCAGTTCCTCTGTAAAATGAGAGGATTGGACTAAGTGATCTTTAAAATCTTTTCCAGTTGTATTAATTCTCTGCTGCTTATTTCCCATGAGAACCAGTCAGTGGCATGAAAACCATGTCAAGAGTGATTAGCGCTCAGTTGCTGACATTTCTGACAATGATAATAAAGTGAACCTTTTCTTCAGGTATTGGTAAACAAGACCAAACCGGTTCTGGAGTCAACTTCGTAATCATATGATCCTTTGATGAAGCCATCTAAAAGGTTCTTTGGACTCAGTTCCGTCATGGTTTGCTTGCAGTTTGGGGTCCATAGTTTTTAAGTTTAAAAAATTTTAAACTCAGTGACGGTTGAGACATCTATGCAGTTTAAACCACCACTATACCAGGCAGAGAGGAATTGTTTTAGGGCCCCAGAAAGGTGCTTGCAATTCTCTGTGTTGTTTTACCCTTTTGAGGCCACTGGAGAAGGAAGTAGTTGAAATCAAAACTTACTTCTCTACCTGCCCCTCCCCCATACACTAGCACACATACCACACCTTTCTGGAAAGTCTGTTCTTCAGATTCCTGAAATCTGCTGAGCTGGGTCTGTGTTCACACTGTGCCTGGGCCAGATAATTAAGGAGCAAGCAAAAAGCAGCATAGGGAAGAATTGCATTTTCTCCTCTGGTTAGTGGTGTAATAAAAATTGTTGAACCTTTTCAGATGCTCACACTAAGAACCTGAACTTGATTTTCAACCTAATGGTGCTTGTTTGCTGTTAAAATAAATTTTAGAGATAACTTACTGTTATGAGCTTAAATTATATGTGTGAAGACAGTAAAGGAAAACATTATTTTAATAAAACCCTTCTGGACACAAAACTAGTGAGAAGTAAAAATTAAACATTTTCTCAAACTTTTCTTTCTAATAAAGAATAACTTTCATTTTCAGCATGTTTCTTGCCTGTTTCCCTTCTCTCAAATGATGATAAAAAGGAGGTCTTTAAGACATACTTTCGATATTACAGGAATTTATTACTGGGGAGCACAGAAGCATTTCATATCTATAGGAAAGTGTATTGCCAAATATAATATTTGGTACTAGGAGTCATTTCCAGCTGAGAGAGTAAGGTTGAGGGCTTGGTGGAAAATAGAGACACAACAGAAAAGAAAGAAATAAAAGGTGAGAAGTAATGGAAATCTTGTAAAATATGGATGGATAACCCAAAGGCTTTCAAATGGAAAGGGTGCTCATGAAGGGTCAGCTAATTCTACTTTATTATGGAAGGAAAAACTGTTAGGTGAGGGTTTTCTGTTCCTTCCTTACTGCATTATCTGAATTTCAGTCTGTGTTAGAAATAGTCCAAACTTGTAGAAAATGAAGAAATAACTTTTGGAGGATGTATTTGAAGGTTTAGTGTTCAAGAGAACTGATTTAATAGAGAACATTTTTAAAAAATGAGGTAACATTCACATAATAAATTTCAGGTGGACAACATTATAACTTGATATCTGTATATTCTGCTGCATGTTCACCACCAAAATTCTAGTTTGTGCCTGTTACTCATAGAGAGCATTTTTAATATGCCATTAGTTGCTACTGTTTTTACACAATGCTGCTTCTGAGGGCAGTTGAATTTATCAAAGTTCCGATGATTGAGTACTTTTCCTACTCTTTGGGGATGAACTTTTCCTAGTTATGCAATGGGAAGAGTTTTCAAGGCAAAGAAAAGTGCCTGCATTTCTTTAATTTTATTTTTTGATTTAAACCTTTTTATTTTTCAATTATAGTTGACATATAATATTATATTAGTTTCAGGTATACACTCCAGTGATCAGACATTATATAACTTATCAAGTGATCATCCTGATAAATCTTGTACCCATCTGACACCATACATAGTTGTTAGAATAGTATTGGCTATATTCACTATGCTGTACTTTACATCCCCATGGCTATTCTGTAACAACCAAGTTGTACTTCTTAATCCCTTCACGTTTTGCAGCCACTCCCCCCAGTCCCCTTTCCCGTCTGGCAGCTGTCAAAATAGTCTCTGTATCAATGAGTCTGTTTCTGTTCTGCTTTTTTGTTTATTCTGTTTTTTTAGATTCATTTGTTGATAGATAGGTATTTATTGTCATTTTATTGTTCATATTTTTGAACTTTTTTCTTTGATCTTTTTTTAATCCTTACTTGAGGGCGTGTGTGTTGATTTTAGAGAGAAAGGGAAGGGAAGCGGAGAGAGAGAGAGAGAGGGAGAGAAACACCAGTGTGAGAAAGGAACAGCTGGGGACTGAACTTACAACCTAGCTATGTGCTCTGAGTGGGAATAGAACCCGCGACCTTTTGGTTTATGGGATGACACTCCAACCAACAGAGCCATACAGCCAGGTCTCAAAGAAGACCTTTTAACATTTCATGTAGTACTGGTTTGGTGATGATCAACTTCTTTAGGTTTTCCTTGTCTGGGAAGCTCTTTATATGTCCTTTCATTCTAAATTACAGCTTTGCTGGGTAGAATAATCTTGCTTGTAGGTCTTTGCTTTTCATTACTTTGAATATTTCTTGCCATTCCCTTCTGGTCTGCAAAGTTTTTGTTAAGAAATCAGCTGACAGTCTTATGGGAGCTCCCTCATATTTAACTGCTTTTCTCTTGCTGCTTTTAACATTCTCTCTTTGTATTTAATCTTTCGCATTCTAATTATGATATGTGTGGTATGAGCCTCTTTGGGTTCATCTTGTTTGGGACTCTGTACTTCCTGGACTTACATGTCTATTTCCTTTACCAGTTTTCTGTCATTTTTTTCAAATAGACTTTTAATTTTTTGCTTTCTCTTTTCTCCTTCCAGTACCACCATGATGTGAATGTTGGTATGCTTAAAGTTGTCCCAGAGGCTTCTTATACTATTTTCATTTTTTTTGGATTCTTTTTTCTTTTTGTTGTTCTGATTGGGTGTTTTTTTCTTTTTTATATTTCAAATTGTTGATTTGTTACTCAGCTTCATGTACTCCACTGTTGATTCCCTGTAATTTATTCTTCATTTAAGTTAGTTTATCCTTCATTTCTGACTAGTTCTTTTTTATGGTTTCCATGTCTTTTTTTTTTTTTTTTTAATGTGGGCTGGTTAATCTTGAGCCTGCAGGGAGCAAGCTGGCCCCAGACTTTTTCAAGTCCATCTTTCTTAGCCTCCAATTCTTACTTGTCCAAAGATAGCGAACCACAGACATACCTTTGTAGGTGGGTTCCATGTCATTCTTTATGCTGTGGAAGTTCTCTCTTAAATTCAACTACTCATCCCTTAAGTTCATTGAGCGTCCTTATAACCAGTATTTTGAACTCTTCATCTAGTTAGGTTGCTTGTCTCTGTTTTCCTGGAGTTCTGTTCTTTCATTCGGGACCTGTTTTTTTGTCTCCTTACTTTGGCACCCTCCCTGGGTTTGTTTCTGTGTATTAGGTAGAACTGCCACATCCTCTGTGCTTGGTGGAGTGGCCTAATGTAGTAGGTGTCCTGTAGGGTCCAGTGGCACAACCTTTTCCATCAACCAAGCTCGCCACTCCAATTGTCTTCCCCACCCCAGTGTGGGCTGTGTACACCCTCTTGTTGTAGTTGAGCTGTAATTGCTGTTCTCTCATCAGTGGGAGGGATTTACCCCTAGGCTAGCTGATCTACTGCAAGGACTGGCTTTGACTACCAACCTCTGTGATCAGCTATGCGGGGGCCCATCCCCCACAGAGCAGGACTTAATTCATCTGGGCTTCGGTGCCCGCTGAGTCTGCCACTTGAGTGTGTTTCTTTGGAGGTGGTTGGGTGGTGGTTTGACATGGTCTGAAGATGTCCACCATGTCCGCTGGCTCTGGGACCTTCTAGAAGGTGCAGGCCAAAGTCAGCTGCTACCTGTATTCTTCTTGGGGCCACCCTGCATGAGCAACAGAGCCACCTGCAGATGGATGCTATTTGTGCTGGGCTTGGGGGTGCCCAGAAGAGGACAAGCTACAAACCACAGGTGGCTGTTGCTAGTGCTGGACCTGGCGCCACTTGGTGAGAGGTGTGGGGCATGCTGAGGCCAGATGCTGCTTATTTGAGAGAGTTTAGGAAAGTCTGAAGCAGGAGCCAAGACAGGCCATTTATATGGAAAGGGCACTGGAATCAGCTTGGGTGGGCTGGCAGGTTTGGTGGGGTGGGTTCTCAGGGATTCACCAGGGCAGGACAGTGATAGCCAGGTTGATGGAAACTCAGATATGGCACCCAACTGTCAGTCTCTGTGAGGGGAAGGCTCATCAGGGGAACAATGGCCTCTGCCAGCACTTTTGTCTGGGAGAGAGCGGTCCCCCAGCTCTCACCTGTATGTCCCTGGTGCCTTTCCAGCTGCTATCCCAGCACTGGAGCTCAGATAGAGTGAGTCAAGAGTGAATTTGAGTTCTTTAAGAGGAACTGCCTGGGACTCCAGAAGCCCTTTGTCTCAATCAGCCTCAATTCCCACTGGCTTTTACAGTCAGAAGTTAGGGGGCCTTTTCCTCCCAGCACTGGAACCCTGGGCTTGGGGGCCTGGTGTGGGACTAGGACCCCTTGCTCCTTGGTGGGGTGGGGAATCTCTGCAGCTGAGATATTCCTTCCCATTTTTATATGCCACACGTGGGTGTGGAACCAGCCCATTCTGTGTCTCCACCCCTCCTACCAGTCTTGATGTGGCTGCTTTAAATCCCTAGTTGTACAACTTTTATTCAGCTTGATTTCAGGCAGTTCCGAATAATGGTTCTGTAGTTTAGTTATTTTGATATGGTGGCGGCAGGATGTGAGTACTACATTTACCTATGCCACCGTCTTGACCAGAAGGCTGCCCTATATTTCTTGAAGTGGGGAATATACATTCTATCTGGGTATAGTTCCTGGTGTCTTTCTTCCTTAGGCTTATATTTTGTAGATTGAGTAACTTAAAAATTTATTTGTATCAAAGACTAAACTGCATTTAGAGTTAATTATGATGTAAGAAAATGATCATGTCTCTTAAATTGCTCTTTTACAGATTGTAGCATATAACTCAGCAGAGAATTAACTCATTTGCTTTTATCATTTCTGAAAATCAGAAAATAAATACAAAAGTAGTGTTTTGGATTTTGTGAAATTGATTAGAAAGATATAAGTAGTCTTATGCTATTGAAGGTGTACCTTTCTTCTGTTTCGTGTTTAAGGAAACTTTCTTATGGTATAGTGGATATTGTAGGTGCTAGAAAAAAATAATTTGCTACATAGTATTTGCAAAATCATAGCTGTAGTTAAAGTTTAATAATGTCTATGCAATGTTTCTGCCTGCCACATGTTTAATCTTGAACTCACATGAAGCATACAAAGCTTAGAAACGTAAGGTTGATTTAACACCTGAATGTTGAAAAGATATCACAAAGTGGTTGACACATAACTAACACATTAACCTGGGCAAAGTAACCAAGGCAGTGTTTAGAATTTGGGCATGTATAAAAATTGTATGTCAGGTGTAAAAGAGCATTGTTGTCATTTTTAAGTTCATGGTATTAGCATTTTGTCTTCAAAATAAGATGAGAATATATTTTGAATGGTTAAACGAGGTACATAAATACACTTTCTACGTCATTTTTTTCTAAAGTGTTGACTTATATAACCTGTTCATGTAAGATTAAACACACAGGTGTACTTCACAGGTTTAATGTTACTCAGTCCTCTTTGTACCTTAATGCCTAAAACAATTTGCTCAGAATTTACTTTTCCCTGGCAGTTGATCCAGTCCCCTGTGACAACCCCCCTTGGGCTGATCATGTTAAAGACAACTTCAGAAGAGCTGGCTTGTCCCCGTGAGGACCTCAGTGTGGCTCGGAAGGAGGAGTTGCGGAAGCTGCTGCTGGACCAGGTGCAGACAGTGCTTGGCCTACTGACAGGTGAGCACAGGTGATGCCAAAAGACAGAGAGAAGCCTGCCTGAGATGCCAAGAGCTCAGGCCTTGGCCCTCCGTATTTTTGAGCAGTTGTTTTAGCTGTTACTAGACTGAGCATAAAAACAAAGAATGTGGAGCTATATTCCCAGCACCAGCCTAGTGTCTAGCACATGGTAGGATCTCAAATAATGTTTGTAACTTACTTTCTTTAAGTCTTCCATTAATTGGTCCTCACTCTAACTGTGATTAATGAGGTATGACCATGTCAAAGGAATGTGATTGAAAAATGCTTATTTTTGCAGTCTAAGTAAGGTGGGTGCCAAGCACTTTATTTAAAATAATTTGTATTTAAGATCAGGAGAAATTAGAGGGTTAGGAAGATATAAAAATTTCAAATTATGTGTGGGGGAAGTGAGACAAGGTGTGTAATCAGTGCCCTATGTGCTAGGTTGTAGTTTTATGCAGCATTTTCTTTGCCATCTTGTCTGTTTTGTTTTTGTTTTTTTAAATTTTATTTCTACCTGAGAACATGCTTACTGATTTTAGGGGGCTGGTGGGAGAGAGAGAGAGAGAGAGAGAGAGAGAGAGAGAGAGAGAGAAACGATTGGTTGTCTCTCGTATGCACCCTGACTGGGGATCAGACCTGCAAACTAAGCATGTGCCCTGACCTGGAATCGAACTCTTAGCCTTTGAGTTTATGGAACTGCGCTCCAACTGAGCCACATTGGCCGGGGCTCGTCTTGTCTGTTTTATCAGAGCCCCGTGACAATATATGAAGTATAGGAATAACAGAAAGCAAACTTCAGAATGAGACAGGAAGTAGGAAGAAAGTGGAGCATCCTGAGCGGGAAGGCTGACCACTGTGTTGCCAGTGGAGCCTGCTTGTTAGGAGATGCAGGTACAGCCTGGCCAAGAGGTGTCAGGAGCCTGGGCTTGCTTGAAAATGTTCTAGTGAAAAGAAGTGTTCTGCTTTTCAGCTCCTCTACCCAGTTTCTTTTTGGATGTCTAGGAACTTTTTTCTTTTGTATGTCTTACAAAAGTGCTTGGCATGTAGTGAGCACTTATCATTGGTTATAAGAATGATTGATCAAAAGTAATTTAGTTATTTGCCGCCATCCTTCTCCAGATCCCTAGGCGGAAACCCAACCCTCAGCATTTATTCAAAGCACTTATTGACACCTCGACTAGATTGTCACCTCTGTTAAATTGTTACCGTTAGGGATCATGTCTGATAAATCCATTTTAAGCATTTACAATGCCCCACATCCCACCCCACCCCACTGTCTGTCTCTAGGTTTTTCTATGTGGACTTTTCATAAAAATGGAATCATACAATATATGACCTTTTGTGTGTGGCCTCTTACACATAGTATGATATTTATAGGTTTATCCATCCCATTATATTAAATATTTTGAGAACGAAATATTTTCAAAAGCTTTTAGGATCATCATAGGTGCCAGGTTCTATAAGGAGAAACAAAGGAATAAAACACAGTCCCTGCCCTCTAGTAATATATACTCTAGTAGGGGAGAAAGACAGTTTCAGAAAACAAACAAACCTTTTAATAGTTATAGTAGAGGTGTGTTTTATGTGCAAATAGTTATAGTAGAGGTATGTTTTATGTGCAGGCAAAACCTGATAGACAGGAAGACCTCCTGGAGGAAATGACAGCTGAGTGGAATTCTGAGGACTAGAGAGGTAGCGGTTAGTCTGGTGTAAAGGTCAAGTTGGGATTCTGGAGGAGGAGAGCAGGTCAAAAGTTGAGAAAGGGAAGGACACAACTGGAAGGAACCACAAACAGTTCAGTATGATGAATCCTTGAGTGTAGGGGTGGGGGTGAGAGGAGATGGGAAGAGCAGAGGCCATTTGCTGAGATGATAATGGAATGCTGCTATTTAATAGGTGGGGAAAATAAGAGGATTAGAGGCGGATTTGGGGGTGGAGGGGAGGAAAATTGAGTTTGGAATAGCCAAGTGGTGCTGTCCAAGAAGTAGTTAAAGCCCTGGCCAGTTTGTTGCAGTGTCGTCCCCAAACACCAAAAGGTTGCAGGTTCCATCCCCGGTCAGGGCACATACATAGGTTGTGGGTTCAATCCCTGGTTGGGGTGCGTATAGGGGGCAACCAATAGGAATTTCTCACATTGATGTTTTTTCCCCACACCTCCTCTCTCTCTAAAATCAATAAACATATTATCAGGTGAGAATTAAAAAAAAAAAGCAGCAGTTGAGAGAGGGATGTTTAGACGCTGATGTTTGATCAAAGATATCAATAAATTGCTTTTCTAAATCTGATTTGCATATGTTGGACTTTATTTCTCTCTTAAACTCAGTTTCTC